CACAATGGAGCCATTTTCGAGAATCCTTCTTGCAAGATTTTGAAATGATTTCTTCCTCATTATGCTTGTAGTTTCTCTTTCCGTCGGATGGCACCACCCTTTCTCAGTCTTCATATATCTATGTATGGTCATTAGCTACGTAATATGTTTGTCTTGGCCTGTCATTGAATGCAAAATCAGTTTCGATAACCTTTATGATAACTGCAAATGTTCTTATGTCAACTTTGGTTACACTCTAAACCCTTCTTAAATACCTCTGTTTTTTTAATTTTCTTTCCTTTACGTAATTGTGTCTTTCTTACCACCAAGATGTCAAAATGTATCTTACCTCAAAATTAGACATTTATTTTAGTGTTTTCAGCTGTTGTCGTCCAGCCTCCATTTTCTTCCACCATTTTCCGAATTGTTCTATTTTTATGCCATTTTGCCTATTCATTATTTTATGGATGCACATGTGATAAATTTATTGAAAAACGATTTTATGGCTAAGTTTACGAGACGTTCATTATCAACCTATACAAGTCAAGAAAAACATCGAGAGACTTACAAGTTTAGACTGTAGATCCATGTCTTTCATCTACTGCATTTGAACAAATAGAATCTCAGAGTTACCAGCTTCCACAAAATCTTCTTCGACAGCAAAATCCCCTCTCCCCGCCATGAAACTCTCCCTACCAGAACCTTCTCCGCCACCGCTAGTCTGACTCTACACAAACCACATCGAAAATTCTTAAAGTTGTATCTCTTAACCACTGAAAGTCTCTTTCCGGAACTCTGCGACGGAAAAGCTGAGCCATCATTGAAGCAAAATTCTCAACCCCAACAAACTCCATTTCCCCCTCAGGAAACAAAAATCAGAAATAAAAAAACAAAATCTTTATCACGAAGAAGGAAAATCTCTTACCATTGTTGTTGTTCAGTTGAGTTTTAAAMAAAAAAGAGGTATCTACATAATCTTTTTTTGTTGCTGCAAACCATTCAACAGTTTTCAAACCATTAAATAGTTTTTCGTTTGATGGTCAATATGTCGCTTTGATTTCATTAGAAGAATTTATTGGAAGATGGGAAAACGAAGTAGTCGAGGCGTCGAAGAAGAAACGCGTAAAAGCATGTA